CCTAGACGCAGAACCGGACATCTTCACCAAGCGTTTCTAAAGAACGGGTACCGAAAGGATCCTCGACGAAAAATTTTTCCACGCCAGCTCAAATTTAAAGTTGGCCAGTTCATGTGGACTAGTGGTAATTTTACCGTTCATACATCAGATATCTCAACCTATCACGAGGTACCTTAATGACATGGGGTTTAGGGTCTACTAAAGACTGGCAAAACAATGTGCAGCATTTTATTTTAAAAAATACATTCCCATTAATAACCCTGAAGAAGCATTAAATGTTGTATACGAAGTTCAGTGCAGAAACTGCAATAAGGAGTACATTGAAAAGATCACCCGGAAACTGAATATTCATATACAATAACACGTTGCCGCGGTCCGCTTTTAACAGGTCGACAACTCTGGTACTACCGAGCATGTGATTACTGAAGAGCATTCTTTCAGCCATACCCAGTGTGTCCGTCATAGACAAAGACCAATCTAAATTTGGCCTGTCGATAAAGGAGTCCTTGCATATACTGGCAATGAAAAGCCGGATGTGCAACGAGTACACGTCTTCTGTTGTCATCAGTGAAAGCTGGGGCTCAATCACAGATCAGATACGCAAAATCGAGTCAAGATGACAGTGAACTGATTTGTTTTTATGTGGGTATTATAATTTGTTCAGATAGTGTAACAACGTCTTGATTGCACGTGATGAGCCAACTAAAAACTTGCCATTGTTTGCTTGTTGGACATTATTTTGGACATAAATGCTTTCAAGCATTCATTTGTACTCAGTCCAGCCCTGATGATGCTGCGGTATGTGCAGTGTAACGCGTTGGCATTAAACTGTTTACCATCTGCTGCATTTGGTGCGTTGAACCATGAATCATTCAAACAACTCTCTATGTAACTGTGGGCCCAGAATCAGCAGCCTGAAGTATTGTTTATTTGTTTACTTTTTTTCACTTACTTTGTCGTTTATTTGTTGATAACAACCCGTGACTTGTGTTGTTTTGGGTTTTGCTCTGTAAAATGAATTTAAAATTTGACTGTTTTGACAAATAAAGATGCAAATATTATTAAATGTGAAATAAAAGTTGCTTTCGATTCTTTTGGTTTTTTCGTAACAACGTTTAGTCATATTTCGCTATCTTTGAAATTCGACCTTGATTACATTGTAACCGTTGAAGTTCAAGCAAATTGTAGGCGACTGGCCTTATTAATACCGAAATGGCCGACGTCCCCGTCATTCAGTCCGAGGCGTCGTCGTCCGTTCTTGCGACAGAAATCCAGTCGCTCAACTGCCTTTCGAAAAGACAACGGAAGAAGCAGCTGAAGAGGGAACGTTGCCTGGCGAATCGTCAGGAGAAGAGGAAAATGGAAAAGCTTAAGAGAAAGCTGCGTCATCGACGGGAGGTCGAAGCTGGCACGCCGAGGAGTGCTCCGTCGAGGAAGCAGCTTAAACAAGTATCCATGGCCTCGTCGCCGAACAAACAACGTCTGGTCGTGGACATGGCTTACGACGACCTGATGACCGACAAGGACATCAGCAAAGCGGTCCAACAGCTCAGTTACTGCTACTCTGGCAACCGGCGATCTCCAACCCCTCTACAATTCTTCATAGCCAACTTCAACGGTAAACGTCTGTTTCTCAAACATGGTCCGTTAACAAAACATGCAAAGAAGATAAACGGAAAAAGTGAT